GGGGGAGGGAGGGGGAAATGAGCAAATGATATTAGGGCTAAAGTAGAGGGCAAATGTTTTGAGTGATGAGGGCAACAAACGTACATATGTGCTTGACTCAATGGATGTATGTATGGACTGTGATAAAATAATTTTTAAAAAAATGCAAGGTGGAAAGTCAGCTTTGTTTTATTAATGAAAATATTCATGAAAATGAACATTCATGAATAAAAATGTCAAACTAAGTCTATATGTACTAAGATAACTCAATATACATACATACAAGAGGGCTTCAGAAATCATTAAAAACTCCATCTTCTAATTATATTTTTCCACAAATTTTTGGAGAAACCTCATTTAGTTTCAATGTACATGTCTTAGATTGGTCTACAAAACTTTAGATTAGCAACAAGTAACAAAAAACCCTTCAAATTCCACTGAAGAATTTTATGACTGATTTTTTCCAAGGTCAGATAATAGTTGTGAAAAGCACACAGACATGAAAGCATACATTATTGGTACATCTGCTAAAGATGACACACTTTGGGTATATTAGTTAATAAAGAAACAGTATAAATCTTTTAGAATTATTTAAAGCATTGAGGATTCCCCCTTTAACAGAAAAGTTATTAGGAAGTTTAACATGAGTTTTTTAACACTGTTATTAAAAGTATATATATCAAAACACACAGGCCAAGTCAATAATACATAACAGTAAGATTTTAGGGAATCATATTCTTTATAACTTTTTATATTTTGACATTCAAAATCTGGTAATCATCTAATTCTGACTGACAAGCGGTAAAGGCAATGTTTAAAATCCTTTTATTCATATAGAATGATGTGTTAGTGTGTGTAGTGAACAAGAAATTCTCTTGTTTGAATGATAATCAGACATTCAAATTTCTGAAACACAAAGTCCCAGCAAATCCACTCTTTTCCAACTGTCATCTCTTTCTCCCTTATGGATTTACCTATGATCATAGGTAAAGGAGCCCTGGTGGCGCTGTCGAGTAAGCACTGGAACGCTAACTGCCAGGTCGGCAGTTCAAACCCACCCACCACCTATTCTGTGAGAGAAAGATCAGGCTGTCTGCTCCCACAAAGATTTACAGCCTCGGAAACCCTATTAAGGGTCACTACTGAGTCAGAATTGACTCAATGTCGGTAGGTTTATGATCATAGGTAGTCACTGTAAAAATTAAATTAAAAAAAATTAAATCCAAAGCTTCAAGTTAATTTGCTAACTTGAAATTCAAGTTATCAAAGACAGAAGTTTACACGAGATCATTTGTCGAATCTATAATTTTGATGGTAACTTAAAGACAAAATATACTTTTTGTGTATTCTAACAATGTTTTTTTCTGAAAATTATGTTTTATTAGGTACCTTCCTGTCAGTTTATTACATACCCTAATAAAATGTGGTTTAAGGAATAAATCATTTGCATTCATCTAAATAAAGCTAACAATCCCTGTCTTTTAACAACTGATAACAAAAATTGAGGTATTATGAGAAAACATTTAAATCTCTGAGAGATAAAACAAGTGGTATAAACCTTATATACAAAAATCTTTTAAAAAGAGAAAAGAAAAATCTTAACTAGATAACCATACAGTTTTTAAAGACCTCTCTAAAAAGAATAAATCTGTGAAAATCAAAGGAGAGTAGAGAATTTTAATAGCTAAGTTTAAGGAGGAGGAAAAAAATATTAGCAAGACAAATACAAATAGAAAACGAAGGAAAGGTTCATCTCTAGCAAAGGCAGGAGCAGGCAGTACAAAGATAAGGTTGGTGATTGCTTATGTGAACAAAAATATCCTGAAACTTGCCTGAGAAGTAAAGCTGATTGGATATTGGTTATAAGAAATATGTAAGAGCAAGAGGGAAGAGGCAGCATAATCTTCCACATGTTAATTCTGCTTTTAAAAAATCTAGGGGGCAGAGGGGAAGAGAATCAAGAAATGAGGTTGAAATCAATTAAGGGAGTTTTTTTTGTTTAAAAGAAAACACAAATATGCATAAAAAGTTGATTTCCAGTAATTCAAAACTACCAAAACCCCGAAATTCTACTTTGGCAATTCTAATTTACTAGAGTAGAATTAAATAAAACTAAAATGTATATATATTTATATCTAGCTTTATATAAATGTTCATTGCTTTTCTTATCCACTGTATCTAAATACAGTCAGATACTACTTGCATTTTTTAGTGTTATAACTATCCATGGATGACTGTTTCAAAGTGTAGAAGCAAATAATGGAACATCATTAAAATGTCTCGTTCTTATGAGAATAGCAGCAAATATTACAAATGCTAATCAATATTTTTGGTTATGAGAATTATAAACTACGAATACTAAACTCAGGCTAAGTAAGTTGACAGAAGAAAAACAGGTATCAGAGAGGTTTCTAAAAAGCAGAGGTTTCATAGGAATGTTCAAAATCAGAGAGGTAAGTGGACATAGTCCTAGTGTACAAAGTTAAAAAATAACATTATGCAATGTGGTAGAATTGAAATATTTCATTAGGTCAAGATCATTTATATTTATGAAAAATTATCTATATTCTTCACTTAATTTTTAAAATCTGAAAACAGCCACCTTCTAGTTTCAAGAAAATAAAATTTTAATAACTTAATAAATAAACATAAAGGAGTATTTGAATATGTCTTCAATCTGGAAACAATATGGCATTTATTGGGGCATAATCCTGCATTCAACAGTTTTTCATTTCTAATGGAAAGTTAACAAGGTGAGCCATTTCATACATAGAAAAATCCTTTTATGAGGACCTAATGCCGGGGGCTTAAGTGGAGAGGATATGTTCTGAGAATGATGAGGGCAATGAATGTACAAATGAGCTTTACACAATTGATGTATGTATGGATTGTGATAAGAGTTGTATGAGCCCTAATAAAATGATTTTTTAAAAAAGAAAGAAAGAAAAATCCTTTTTTCTTTTCAAGAACTTAAAATGTTTTAAAAGTTGTGATTTCTAGCATTTTTAAGCATTAACAGTGATTCACTGATCAAGTTTTACTTTTCAATTCTACTGTCATAAGTATCTGGACAGAAGAATCAAGCATTTGTATATAATATGGCTCTTTATATTGAAGAAATAATGCTGTTCTATACAAGTTAAAACCTTAAAATTTTTGTGTATCTGTCTGGCAGTTCAACATCAAGTTATTTTAGCCTTAAAAAAAGGGGAAATGGATGTGGCCAAAATTAAATTATACGGATATTTGATAAAAATTTGTCACTTTTTAAAAATGCAAATAATCTATTATGTGTGTAAGTAGAGACTTGGTAAAATAAATCGTAGCACAAAGCTATGTAGCATAAAACTATACTATTAAAAATGGTATTACCAAAAAATGGGGAAAACTGATACTACATAATGTCAAATAAAAAAATTGTGGGTTATAAATAAACATATAATACATTCTTTTTAATTAAGTAAGTACAAGAGTATTCCAGATAGTTCATAGAAAAATGAAATTTAAAAGGAAATGAAAATTATACCACAATTTCCTTGTACATGCGTAAGTGCATATGTATGTACAAGAGGACTTCAAATAGGTAGCAGATTAATTAAATTATCATTTAAATCTACTTTGTCCACATATGTCTGTGTGTTGACAATCATTCGAACAGATATTTTTCATTTTCTTCTTCACATTATCTGTGGGCTCTAAGCTTTCTAAAATACATATGCATTATTTTGTATTCAGGAAAAAACAAGTAATTTAGAAGTTACGGGAGAATAAAACATTACGCTATCTCCAACACTGTATGAAGTGCACACAGAAGCTAAAAGTCAACACAATTTCTACTATCTCCGGAAGGAAGCTGATTCTTAAGAAGGGTCAATGTTCATAGTAACTGGAATTTTCTCTCATGTTTTGCATTAACGTACCTCCTGTTCCTCTTCGCTTTACAGAATAGATGAGGTCTAATAATACTTGAGAATTATAAGCAATGGTAAAGCTGTTAAGAAAATTCAGACCTTAAAAGCACTTGAACCATTTTTAAATTAAAGTTTCAATACAGAAGTAAATCAGGATTTGTTTTTAATCCAAGTGTCTTTCATATCACCAAAGCAGTTTTAAATACCTGGTGATAATTTATTTTGCTAGTAACTAAGCAACGTTGATGTTCAAGTGAAATATGTATAAGGTATATTTGATAACCTCCTTCCAAAATAAAGCCACGTAATGTGCTGATGTTAAAGGATGATTGAATAACAACATTTAGTAGGGTCAATACACTGGACTTTGACTATTTTAAAAAGTTGGGAAGCTTTTATTTTCTCATGGTATTTTTACATCACACAGATTGAATTGTTTTGAGCCTTTTAGTACAACTGGATAATGATCAGCATTACATCTCACTTCCAATGGCTACTCTAACACACACTGAATATTATATGCAATAAAGCTTAGTATCTTCACTAAATCTCATATAATTCAGAACTAGTAGCTTTATTCATTCCTAGCAGTCAGATAACACAAGATGGGCAGCTATAAAAAGTTTTCCTCTCGAAACCTAGATTCATTCCCAAAATAAATTATGGGAATGTTTAAAACAGACTAGGTGCTTAGTTTTTTGTTTGTTTTTTAAAAATTGTTGAGGAAAGGAAGTAACTTTCCAAATGAATTAAATGCTTCAATTTTAAGACAAATCTCAAAAATCAAATCCAACTAAAGCTACATATTTAAGATTATCAAATGTAAATAAGCTGGTAAAAAAATACCTGGAATTATTACAATATCATGTCCCTTTTCTCTTTAAATTGTCATCATACATTCAGAGACACATTCCACACATTTGATAATAATTCATCTGTAAAGACTAGATTCCCATTCCCATGTCCATATTTTTTTAAATCACCTTACCCCATTCTGTGCCATCCCCTGAACTCCGTGCTTCTCCAGCTCCTTCACCATCTTCGGCAGTCACTAAAAAATCAAATTCTTTCAAAGCTTCTTCAGTATCAGGGTCATCAGTGAGGTCAGCAGCTAAACCTTCATTGCCTATCTGCAAACAACCATTAAGCAGAGAATTAGTTACAGATTAAATTTTAAAGGTATCCTTCAATGTGTTCATAAGTACCTTTACGTTTATACATCCATTAAAAAAATTCTTTGGACATCGAAGTTTAAACTTCCCATAAAGTTCAGAACTCCCAAATTACATTCTAGATAATTCAACAGTACTCTGCCAACATCAGTTATGATTAGTAATTTGGTATTAATATGATCTCATTCACTCATTTGCAATCTGATAATACTGTCCTTAATTGATACCAGACACTGAAAATTAAACACTTTGTTTTAACTTGTGGCCTGGATAATACAGATATGGCACAACTAGTAATAAATAATAATTAGCTAATAATAAATAATAAGAAAGTTAAAGACAGTGGTAATTACAATAGTGCTTTATCTAAAAAGGAGCCCATGAAAGGGGAAAATCAAACCTCTATCCAAATGAGTATGCTAAACCTAAGAAATGTGGCAGAAAGGCTGCAAGTGTAGGATGGAAGCTTAGAAGAAAAAAATGACATGTTCTCCATATTGCTGCAATATTCCAAAGAACTACAAATGAACCTATCTCCTTTTACAGACTCATAAAATACACTATTCTGACAACTTACAAATAATCTAACTGATTTTTGTTACTACAGCTATCCATTATGGATAAAAGAAACTAATTTTTTAGATTACAAACAAATTAATTTTCGTTGATACTTCTACATAGGTCTCTAACTCCCACCAAATGATTGGGTGGGACTATGTATATTGGGCGTTTGTAAATGAATAGAAGGGATTTGTCATTTTTCGTCACCGCCCCTCTGGCTATCAGGATGAGCCCTCTTTAAAGTAGCAGCAGAGAAAGAACACGCCAATGACCTGCTGAGACTAGATGCGGATACGGAAATTCAGAGGAGCAGCACTGAGACTATGGGTCTCTAAGACACAGTGACAGGTGAGCTGCCTTCCTGAACCATGGAGGCAAAGGCTGAAGGATAACTTGACTGAGAACTGGAGAGAGACTTTGCTACTGACGGAAACCAATGACTGTATCCTCACTGTTTGCTCATTCTGACTTGTCTTGTGAGCTTCACTATTAAAGCTCTTTAATTTGAAGTTGTGACTTCTGTGTGGCGACTGCAAAACATTACTGAACCCAGCATAGATGTAGAGTGTTGTGGGAAGAGCAGTGGTGTCAGAGTAGGTAAAGAAAGGTGGAACACGGAGGCTTGTCTTACCTCTGCCTCAAGGCAATAAGGAAGCCTGAGGAGGTCAGAAACGTCCACCTCCAGTGCCATTTTTTGCACACACAAACAAATGAGAATGCCAAAACATATTCACAATCGGGGTATTATTTCCATGCTCTGTAGACAAGGTTTTCTGCTGCAGTTACAGTTAATTTATCTTTTTTTTTCCCCCAGTTAATTTATCATCTGGTTTATTATCCATAAAGTCATGGACTACAGTTGTGGCAAATGGATTAGGGGAGAGGATCACTTTTTTTGTTTTAGTTTCGTAAATTTTTTTTCTTTTTTTTTTTTTAAACATTTTATTAGGGGCTCATACAACTGTTATCGCAATTCATACACACATCAATTGTGTAAAGCGCATTTGTACATCATTCTCAAAACATTTTCTCTCCACTTAAACCCCCAAAATTAGGTCCTCATTTTTCCCCTCCCTCCCCACTCCCCCCTCCCTAGTTTCGTAAATTTTCTTGCCCATCTAGTGACATAGTAAACAATTCTTCCTATATATCAATAATTCAATCAATGCTAACTATATACAATTTTATGTGAAATTATCTCATACAAAAATCCATCACCCCCAAGGGCCACTTAAGATACTTCAAAAATTCCTACTGTAATATATTATTTTAAATACATGCATATGTGTATCCCTCTCAACATATTATCTTAGCTAATGGAAATATGAAATTGAATTCCTACTTTGTGTTTATTCATCCGATGTTTGTCTTTTCCTTCTGGGATGCCTTCAATCATATCATTTTCCTCATCTTCATCACTGTCATCAGCATTTTCTAAGAAATTGAATGTTTCAAGAACATCACCAGATGGCCTGTTGAGGAGAAAACTATTAACCCTTGTGTTTTAGTGGTTAATTCCAACAATAACTTACTGGTTCTTATTTTAAAGCAGTACTGAAGGTAGCTATAGACTGAAATTATAACTCATTTATAACATATTATTTATCTCACCCTAAAGAAGTTTGAAAAATTATTTATGTTCTAGGATCAATGTGATGCTGATTGCTCTTTACATATTTCATTTCCCTGGTGTTTATTGGCAAGTATGTTTTCGGTTTTAGGCAATAATCACATCACAGATAATCTTGTACACTAACAGATAATCACTTTCTTAATGACACTAACAGTAGACGATCTAATAGTAGGTAATCTATTCTAATTTGAATTCCTAGATGGGGTGTACAGAAAGTGGTTTAAATGTCTAACAGAAGCTATGGGGGTGGGGTTGGGGGGACTAGTAGAAAATTAAGCTGAACAAAGACTCTTAAAAGAGCTATGGAGCAGTTCTGCTCTCTTCTATAAGGTCTTTATGAGTTGAAATTAACTAGACAATAGATGATTATTTTTAAGAATTAGGAAGCCTGGTTAGTTGACTGACTGGTTGAATGAAAACTGCTTTATTTTTGTTTTCTCATATTCTATAAAAACTCTGAATTCCAGATTAAAGAAAATATGGACTTTAATACATGTGAAATTGTTTTGTTTTGTTTTAAGAGCGTATTTCTCAGCCTAAATCAAAGGCTATGTTAACTTCAAAGTTTACAGAATGTTTTAGATAATTATATTATGTCAAAATATATGAAATAATGTTGTTTTATAAACTGTATATATTATTAATTCCTTCAACTCTAAGTGAACTTGTGAGTTTTCCTTCTCTTTAATTTTTCTTTGTACTTTTAAACCTATATACATAAACTTAAAACAATGTCTACGGTCCCACCTAGTTGACTCATACTAATCATGGCATTGGAAAATGAGCACTGTACCTCCAATCACACTGCAAAGTCCGTGATTCAAAAACCACCAGCTGCTCCGCAAAAGAAAGCCACCTTCTCCTATAAAGATTTCGGTTTAGGAAACCCTATATAGCAATGGTTCTCAACATGTGGGTCACAACACCTTTGGGGGTTGAACAACCCTTTCACAGGGGTCGCCTGATTCATAACAATAGCAAAATTACAATTATGAAGTAGCAATGAAAATAATTTTATGGTTGGGGGTCACCACAACATGGGCAACTGTATTAAAGGGTCACGGCTTTGGGAAAGTTGAGAACCACTGTTATATAGGATCACTGTTAGTCAGAACCGACTTACTGGCAGAGGGGTTGGGTTTTGGGGGGTATATGGTAGACAGACAATAACAAAGTGCTGGTGGCAAAACCAAAACTTTCATTTATTGCTGGTGGAATGGTACACAGGCTTTGGAAATGAGTTTGGTAATTCCTGATAATGTTTAATAAAGTTCTATGAAATAGCAATGTGTCTCTTAGATGTATATACCCATGAGAACTGTAACCATATTATCTGCATGTGAACACAAATGTTCAAAATGAATGCTCAAAAACTCATTATTCCAATGTGTGAAACCAACCTAAACATCCATCAACTGGTCAAGCAACAAATAAGCAAAAATGTGTACATCCACAGAACACAATACTATTTGGAAATGAAAAGGAGGGACGGTAGGGTGGAAAGGGGGAAATGATTACAAGGATCTACATATAACCTCCTCCCTGGGGGACTGAAACAGAAAAGTGGGAGAAGGAGGACATCGGACAGTATAAGATATGACAAAATAATAATTTATAAATTATCTAGGGCTCATAAGGGAGGGGGGAGCAGGGAGGGAGGGGGGAAAGCGAGGAGCTGATGCCAGGGGCTTAACTGGAGAGCAAATGTTTTAAGAATGATAAGGGCAACGAATGTACAAATGTGCCTTACACAATTGATGTATGTATGGATTATGGTAGAGTTGTACAAGCCCCCAATAAAATGATTAAAATTTTTTTTCAATTTTAAAAAAAGGAGTAAAATACTGAAACATGGTACAACACAGATTAATCTTGAACATAAGTTATAAATTAAGAAACCAGCCATAACTGACCAGTTCTATAAAACATGTACACAGAAAGCAGAGTAGTGGTTGCTTAGGGTTGGAGAGCAATAGGAAGAAAGAAATCCCTAGACAGATGGCACAAATGGTTATCATTTGCCTGTTCATCTTAAGCTTGGTGGTTAAGTCCTTCTACCTTGTAACATAATAGGCCTGGTAAGCTACCTTTATCAAAACTACAGTAAAACAAAACAGATCCTATCAGTTCTATCCTATAATGCATGGAATCATCATAAGTCAGAATCGACTTGATGGAGACCAACATTAACAAGAACAGATGGAAGCTGGCAGTTAATGGGCATGGAATTTCTATTTGGGGTGATATGCTACAAACTTGATTGTGGTGATATCTGCATAACTCAGTGAACACCCCAAAAGATATTGATTAGATTGTATACTTTTGATGGGACATTTTATAGTATCTGACTAATACCTTAATAAACATGTTTTTGAAAATAACTGATAACTTCCTATGCTCAAACACAACACAGAGCTCTCTCTCTTTCATATTAGTACCCCATCAAACACTGCTTATTTTAATTAGTATTTTGATTTATTGAAAACACTCTACCACTTTCAAAAATCATAATCAGTATGTTAAAATAGCCCTGTTCCAAATTAAATCACCTTAAAAATTCTAATTTTGCACCTATTTCAAAACTATTACTATTCTCTTGGTATCAAAAGTTATTACAGATAAGCTTAAAAAGCACCTAAATATTAAATGAAGGGATATTATACAGTAAACTAAATCCACATTAACTATGGAGGCAAAAAAACAACAACCAACAAACAACAACTATGGAGGCAATACAATATAAAATTATTATTTTTACAATTATTTATATTTTTAAAAGGCACCTAAATATAAAGCATACTTGCTCTTAACACAATAGGGGATGGGGAGGGGGGGTGTCTTTAAATCTAAATTCTATTTGCTTTAAAATTGTTAACTACTAAAAAGTCAACAAACTAGAATACAATGTTCTTTTTATTTAAACTGTTGTTAATCTACAGATGTAATTCATACCTTTTGATTTCTTGTCCTTTTGGTTTAGGTGATTCGCCTCCATTCAGGATCTGCTCTAAATTTTTTGTTTCTACTGATCCATTTGGCTCTGAATTGGATAGTCCGAGTAATGACCTTACCCGCTGAGACCGCACATCTAATATTGTATCTGTGTAACCTACTTCCTGAAGATATCTATAAAAGAAAATTTAAAATATTAAATTCCACTTACTGTTATAGCACCTGCCAAAACTAAAAATTTGATCAATTTTTAGAAAAGATCAGAATTCTATAAAACTATGTTTACATTGTCTTAATGACAATTTTTGTCTATTCTACTTCTAAGAGAACAATGCCAATTACAAACCAAAATTTTTTAAAGAGCTTACAGTGTTACTACTGATTAAGATCCATTTTTTCCTGCAAACTAGAAAGCCTCAGGACCTTAAAAAGTTTCAGAAGTTCGTTTTTTCCCTTTAAAATATGCAGCGAGCAGTAGCGTTTGAGTAGAAATACTCCTCAGAACAGTGACAAGCTACGTTTAGATCTGGGGTTAACTGGTGTTTGATGTCCTTCTAGCATAGCATTCCTCTAGTTCTGTGATACTCAGAACTCTCGCCACATTTAAACTAGTGTGCATTAACTAAGATCCAAATGAAGATTCTTTAAAAAGAAAGGCGGAAGGGTGTCAGACTATAACACACAAATAAGGCATGAATGGCTTCATGTGACAAGCTGAAGAGTTTTACCTCACATATTTGAGTATCTAATGAATTCCAGTAATGAACCTTAAAAATTGCTAGTATTCATGTTGTATTTTTAGAAGAATTTTACACGGCTGATGTTATAGATTATGTCCACCAAAAAGTTGTATTAAGTTCTAACTTCTATACCTACAAGTAGCCTTCAAAAGGTTTATGAGAAAATTCTATTGCCTTCTAATTACATTTTTACAGGAACTTTCTGAAGCTCCCTTTGGAAAAAGTTTGTGTACGTGTGTGTTATATTACTGAGGTCATAAAAGCGCAGGGTGGATTCCGAAGCTGCTTCCTCTGGGTGTTATCATTTAAAAGAGATAAAGACACCTCAGATGTCATGTAGAGATGGAGGCAGTTAAATCTACAAACCCAGAAATGCCAGAGATTATTGATAGCTACTAGAAGCTGAGATTAAAAAAAGGGCTATCCCTAAGGCTGATGCTGTGAATTCTGACTCCCAAAGCTCATTAAGTATTAGAAATTAATGTTCTGTTCTTTAAAGTCACTCCACTTCAAGAATTTTTTTATGTCAGCACCAGGAAATTAAGTTAGCTGATATCAGGGATATCAATTAGGTGACTAACACAGCAAGAAGCAAGAATGAAAAAATTAATATGGGAGAGGCGGCGGGGGGGGTCAATGAAGGTATAATCTTTGGGACTTACTGCAGAAATAAATGTGGCAGTGAAATGAGGGAAACATACAAGCATTTGACAATTTTCAATCTTCTGACCTGGATGGCAAGCTAAAATAAAAGGTCAAAATCAGTGTTAAAAGTTCTCTCTCAGATAACGAAAGAGCCCTGGTGACACGGTGCTTAAGTACTTAGCTGCTAACACAAAGATTGGCAGTTCAAATCCATTAGCCATGCGATGGAAGAAAAATGTGGCAGTCTATATCTCTAAAATTTTATATCCTTAGAAGCCCAGTAGAAGATCCCTTTACTTTGTTCTATAGGATATCGCTATGGATCAATCAACTCAACGTCAACAGGTTTGGTTTGGTCAGACAATCATGCAGTTTTTATTAAACAAGAGATAATATTTATTAGGTATTTGGGAAGCCATGAATTTATAAGAATTAGCCCAAATGGATGGTCTAATTCCATAATCAGTTCCTGGCCTCCTCTAGGCAGTAAATATTGAGTTTCTCTATCAACTGCTCACATGTAAGTGCTGGTTGAAGTTCAAAACACATAAAGCATGTCCACAAGAGCTGACTTTCCTGAACATCTCAAGAACAGACACGATACAGTGAACATTAGTGACAGAGACCTGATGAACTGTGAGATGACATCAAGAGCACCCACCATACATGAAGAAAACAAAAGGTATCAAAAAGACAAAAAATAAAAGATAAAAGTGGATTTCACAAGATACTCTGAAGCTTGCTCTTGATCTACTAGTATAGCTAAAGTAAATGGAAGAAATAATAATAGAGTGAGAAAGAAAATTGCAAACGGCAGCACAAGTAGATAATTATAATAAAATGTATAGAGAACTGGAGTCAGAAAGCAAAAATAAGTAAATAAATAAAAAACAGGCTCCAAGTTACAGCATTGAGGGATTCTACAGGCAAAATACTGAATGACGCTGGAAGCATCAACGATGGCAGGAATATACAACAGAGTCACTGTACCAAAAATAACTGGTTTACATTTAACTATTTCAAGAGGTAGCATATGATCAAGAATCAATGGTACCGAAGAAAGTACAAGGTGCACTTAAAGAACACATTAGCTAAAAAAAAAGTCCAGGAATTGACAAAACACCAATTGAAATGTTTCAACAAGCTGATGAAGTGCTGGAAATACTCACTTCTCTATGCCAAGTCATTTTGAAGATAGCTACCTGGAAGATATCCGTATTGGTGCCCGTTCCAAAGAAAGGTGACCCACAGAATATGGAAACCCTCAAACTATCATTAATATCACATGCAAATAAAATTTTGCTGCACATCCTTCAACAACAATTACAATCATACACTGACAGGAAATTGCCAGAAATTAAAGCTGGATTCAGAAGACTACATGGCACGAGATGTATCGTTGATGTCGGGTAATTTTTGGCTGAAAACAGAGAATACCAGAAAGACGTTTACTTATGTTTTATTGATTATTCGGACGCAATTGACTGTGTGGCTCAAAACACACTATATGGATAGCCTTGGGAAGAAAAGGGATTCCAGTACACTTCCCTGTGCTCATGTGGACCTTACATTTGGACCAAGAAGCAGTCATACAGAGTAAGGGAGTACTCCTACGTTTAAAATCAGGAAAGGTATGTGTCAGGGTTGTATCTTTCCACCATATTTATTCAACTTGTACACTAAATAAAGAATTCAAGAACTGGACTACAAGAACGTGACATCAAGATTGGAGGAAAGCTTATTAACAACCTACAATATGCAGATGACACAACATTGCTTGTTCAAAGTGAGGAGGATTACTGATGAAGATCAAGGACTGTGGCTATTCATATGGATTATAACTCAAAGAAAAGAAAACCCAAATCTCTCTTAACTGGACTATTATATAATTTCATGATAAACAGAGGATAAAAGTTGAAGTTGTCATGGATTTCATTTTGCTTGGATCCATAGTCAATGCTTCCAAAAGTAGGAGTCAACAAATCACAAGATGTAGTACACTGGGCAAATCTGCAGCACGAGATCCCTGTAAATTTTTCAAGAGCAAGAATGTCACTTTGAAGACTAAGTTGCACCTGACCCAAGTCATGGTATTTTCAATCACCTCACATGTATATGAAGATTAGACAACGAATAACAAGACTGAAGAATAAAGGATACATTTAAATTATGCTATTGGGGGAAACATTGATATTACTGTCAATATTCTGGAATTAATACAACCAAGGTGTTTCTCAGAAGATAGAGGATGGCAAGACTTTTCTGACATGTTCTCTAACAGGAGGAACCAGTCCCTGGAAACGGACAAGCATGCTTGGTTAAATGAATTGTCTGAGGAGGGAGCAAGATGGTTTAAAGAGAGGGACTGCCACAGAGGTTGCAACACTGGGCTCAAACATGACAATTCTGAGGATGCTGCAGGACTGGGCAGTGTTTCCTTCTATTGTGTGTAGTGGTTGCTATGGATTGGAACCGATGTGATGACACTTAATTAACAATAACCCAGAAAGAACTCTTGGGATCACAACATATAAAAGGCCAGAAGAGTTCAGAAAAACCTAAAGGGAAAAAAAGAAAAGAAAACATTGAAGAAATAAGGGGTGGGGGGGTGCTAATAGAGAATGGTGTGATAGAATTTTATAAAATGTGTTTTAAAAAGAATGAATAATGTCAAATGTTTCCAACAGAACAAATAGGAACCACCCCAAAATTTAATGAACATGTTTGTGATGGTAGTTTTCAGTAAAATGTCAAAATAGGAAACAGGCTAGAAGGCTGAGATGAGGATAGGAAGAAAATGTATAAGGATAAACTACTTTAGAAGAAGGTTAACTGTAAATTCAGAAGAAATAAAAAAGATGAACAGGGAACTAAGTCCAAATGACAGGATTAGTCATTTCCTGAGAAAAATACTGCTCAGCAGTTATCGTTACTCTTCTGGGAAAATAAATCTCATCACACTCCTAACTGTGTGACCTGCGTAAGGGCCAAGCTCTTACACAACCCAGGTGAAAATTATTTTCTCAAGTGTTATCATAAAATCAAATTAGGTCAAATACCTTGCCTGAAATTATTCTAACCAAAACGGGAGATCTCATAAACCTTGTTAGTGGTTTCTGTCAAGGATGACTGTGAGAGAGAAATAGGGAGTCAGTGCTTAAGGAGCACTGAGTTTCTGTTAACAATGATGAAAAATCTGGATGGTGATGAGGAATTTAATTTAACTACAATGAATGCATAAACATGGATGAGATGACAACAGAAAGTGTAACGCTGATAAAAAGAGAACTAAAAACCAGATAACAGAATGTATTTCCAATCTCTGAGATGTCCTCACTGTTACTCTAGCTTTCCTCATGCTCAGTTGTTCAGCACCTCCTCAAATCTAGTCCCCATTCCAGCACCCTTCTAATCAATAATCTATTTTATTAAACTTTCAAGTTTTAATAATTGTTTCTAAGCCAAGATCTCTTTTAATGGAACATCAGGCACTAAGATAATAGGTAAACAAGCGGCCATCTAGCTCAAAAGCAACAAAGCCCACATGGAGGAAGCACACCAGCCTGTGCGATCACAAGGTGTCGAAGAGATCAGGTATCAGGCATCATCAGAACAAAAAAATCTTATCATTGTGAATGAGGATGGGAGTGCGGAATGGAGACCCAAAGCCCATTTGTAGGCCAGTGGACATCCCCTTACAGAAGGGTCTCAGGGAGGAGAAGAGCCAGTCAGGGTGCAATATAGCAACGATGAAACATACAACTTTCCTCTGGTTCCTAAATGCTTCCTCTCCCCACACTATCCCAATTCTACTTTACAAATCTGGCTGGACCAGAGGATGTACACTGGTACAGACAGAACCTGGAAACAACACAGGGAATCCACGGCAGATGATCCCTTTAGGACCAGTGGTGTGAGTAGCGATACTGGGAGGGTAGAGGAAGGGTGGGTTGGAAAGGAGGAACTGATTACAAGGATTTACATGTGACCTCCTCCCTGGGGGACGGACAACAGAAAAGTGGGTGAAGGGAGATGTCGGACAGGGCAAGATATGACAAAATAAAAATTTGTAAATTACCAAGGGTTCATGAGACAGGGGAAAAAACGAGGAGCTGATGCCAGGGGCTTGGGTGGAAAGCAGATGTTTTGAGAATGATGAGGGCAATGAATGTACAAATGTGCTTTACACAATTGATGTAAGGATGGATTGTGATGAGTTGTATGAGCCCCTAATAAAACGATTAAAAATAAAGAAACTAAGATAGTAGATATGAAGTTTAAACACATTTACAAAAAGAAAGCATAAGTTTAGGGAGTTGATAGACATTATGTTTTCAGTGAAATATTCTAATCAGAGAAAGAAGGAATGAGTCAATATATGGTAAAAGTTTAGAATATCTACTGTGGGCAAAGGGAGTGGGAGGTAACCAGGTATTCGGAAAAGGACTATTTTTTCAATGTTTAGACAGGAACCTTCACTGAACTATGTAATGGCATTTACATCAATTTGTTTTTTAAATTAAAGAAAAAGCAGACAATAAGACTAGAGTTGGGAGTCTACAAAATTACCAAGGCAGGACAGGCAGTTAAGAAGTGGGCAGCCAGATAGCTAAAAGTATTAGCAAAAGAGTGATGGTGCACAAGGTTTAAGCTGGAGCAAAGGAAAACAAAACCAACTGTAGGGAGAGGAAATAAGAAGAAAAATAAAATAGTCCACGGCCTAAAGATGAAGGTATGATCAGAGGTAAATAGTTTGGGTCCTGGACTGGAGAGAGGTAGAATATGAGATGACTGTCCAATTGTGGAATATTGCAGAGGCAGAGTAATTAATTCTAGCTCATAAACAAGGTCCAGGATGTGACCACATTTTGCTGGGTTTCTGAAGTAAGGATGCCTCCAGTTAAGACAGCTGTTATAATTTACAATGGGGGCTTCAAAAATGTATGGAAACATGAAATAAAGATAATGGAATAATGGAATTTTTCCCTAAACGTTTTGAAGTCTCCTCATGTAGAGAACGAGAACAAATAAATGACAACAAACAAGATTTCCCACAGAAGAACTTTAAATATAGCTAAGAATTTTAACATCAGAAAGGTTCCTCTAAAACTTGCTTTTATGCACCTTTTTTTCCATATGCTTTCTCTTGGGAAAGTAAGGGGAGTTAGCTGGGAATGGGTTGACACAAGCAGATATTGGCGCATGGTCTTTATTTTGCTTAGTTTCCAAACAACATATAAGCAGGTAACACAGTCCCTGCAGTTCTAAAACAACAGGGTGGTAGAACTGCCCATGTGTACATACCTGCTAAGCATTTAAACAAACCATCACTGCTTCTGCTTAAGTGCAGAAATAAGTTGTGACTCACTAGTGATTACTTTCTGACTGGGTTTGTCCAGTCAAAGGAAATACTCCTTTCCCAGACTCAGCCTGTAGCCTATAGCTGCTGAGGTACTATCTACTGAGCAGCAGAGGGATTTTGGGAAACACCACATGGGCTAATTGCTTCTTTCTGTTCCCAGCTTCCCAGTGTAGAAAATGTATGACAGGTTCAGCTGTGTAAGAACCTTAGGGTTCAAAAGAGAGGCTGCGTAATTGACATGGCTGCAACCTGCACAGCTACTGGGAAATGTTTTTGTATTTGAGTTCCTGTGGACCCCAAACTGAAAAACCACCCTCTGAAAGCATGCCACTGCAGGGTCTCTGTGGGTGGAGCCTTGTGGCTGCAGAGATGGCTCCTGAATTGGGAGTGGGGATACGTAGGGGGGAAACACAGGGCCAGAAGCCCCAAGAGAATGAAGGTGGCTCTGACAGAAGGCATTGAAGCCCTGCCTGGGTTCAGTCTGGGAGACAGAGTGGGCTTGCTCTTTGGTGAGAGGCTTTATTGCCCTTTCCAGTCAGGCCAAAGCTACCTACTTGTATGGGTCAGCAACACTGTACTACTCAATCACCAGCCAAAATGTATTTTGAAAAAAGTATTTCCTGTTAACAAGAAAAATTTGTTTGTTGAAACAAATTTGGTAATTTTTAGAATTTTATAAGAATCAGTTTGCCACCCAAATGCTACCGCTATTGATCTTTGGTGTTAAATGTTCCTCTAGATCAGTGGTTCTCAACCTTCCTAATGCCATGATCTTTTAGTACAGTTCCTCATGTTGTGGTGACCCCTCCCCCCGCCACCACAAAATTATTTTTGTTGTTACTTCATAACTGTAATTTTGCTACTGTTATGAATCATTGACCCTGGTGAAAGTCATTTGACACCCCCCCAAAGGGGTCGCAACCCCCAGGTTCAGAACCTCTGCTCTAGAAAACAGCAATTTTTAGTGTTTACATAGCTGTTACTTTATTGTGTATACAACTTTATGTCCCTTCTGTACTTGACATATAATCATTTTCCCCCCTACATTTAAGTAACCAAAAAAAAACCTTTCCTTTGCTTCAAATTCTTATGGAAACCAGCCACTGAATGAATTGAGAATGTGTGATCTATTTATTGCCTGGAAACAATTTTTAAAATGTGAAAAAAATTATTCCTTTAAGTAATTTTTAAACAAAACAACCAATTAGCTCAATTAAACATTTGCCTTGAGTATTGAATTCTTCTCAACAATCCGAGTTAGATCAAATTAACAGTAACCCTAAAGGGCAGAGAAGTCTAAGTTAACAATGGTAGAACACTGTGGGCAGATAGTGGGGATGATGACCCAATGTGAAGCATGTACCCTTCGTCACTTAACTGCACATGTAAAAGTTGTTGAACAATTCTGTTTTCTTATGTATACTTCATCCACATACATAAGCAAAATGAAAAATATACACAATGTTCCATTACAATTAAATAATTCAGCTATTGTAAAGTGACCATAAGCACTTTTATACATTGAAAGTTGAAAATACACTATTACTCACTGTCGTAACAGCTGTCTGCCTTGCTTCCATGTTAGCTGACTATTTTGAGGTGCTGTGGGAGCCTCTGTATCTTTGGTTTCTTCTGAAAATGTTTAAAAAGAAGTTTCACACACATTATTTCAATTCTTGAAAATATTGCCACACTTCTCTTAGAAGTTTCCATAAAAATATACCTAAATATTTTATAAAGGGTAAAAAAAAAACTTTTATTGAATAGAGAATATTCATTTTAAATGTATTTGTCTCAATGACTTATAATCTCAGACCCAAAATGAGAACACAAAACATTATTACTGTCAAGGATTGAAAACTCAAAGGACCAAGCTTTGAATGAAATATTAGAAATAAGGATTTTTCTCCCCTTTAATTACTAGAATTGTGCAAGAGTTTAATAATAATTACACAAGCTATTTATTCAGTCAATATTGACTATACAGTAGCTACATATAAAAATAAGTGCATCATTTAATTATGAGTCTGTTAAACCATTTTTAAGAATATATTAAATTGCACTGATCACAGTATTTTGTATTTTTACAACTATGAAAGATCTGCTTTGCTATAGGTAAAATTTACATTTTCTCAAGTACAAAAGAATACACATTTTATTAAAAGTTATATAATAAATCATATATTTTGGGGTAAATTTTACTTTCAACAGGTATGCCTACAGTAACATGTAAAATTATATATTGGTACCAATTATATTATGGAAATCATTTCCCAATGGTTATTACATTAAAAAATAAAATACAGGATTGTAATAACAGTTGTACGAGCTCCCAATAAAATGATTAAAAAAATAAAATAAAATACAAACATGGGCGAGATAGCAAACGGTGTAAGATATGAAAATAATAACTTATAATTTATCAAGGGTTCATGAGGGGGGGAGGGGAGGGAGAAAGGAAAAAGTAAGGAGCTGCTATCAAGGGCTCAAGTTGAAAGAAAATGTTTTGAAAAGGATGATGGTAACATATGTACATATGTGCTTGATACAATGGCTGGATTGTGATAAGAACTGTAAGAGTCCCCAATAAAATATTTTTTAAAGAACTGTAAAAGTCCCCCCCAAAATACTTATTAAAATTTTAAAAACAGTAACATTTTATTGTACACAAAATAAAATTGCCGAAAATCTTATCATCAAAACTTAACAACTGTTAGGACTTGAAAGCTTATCAGACCATATTTTCCCCTCTACAAACATAGGCAGTGCTGGGATTAAGAACAAGTTTCTTTCCTAAATTGAATCTGTACATAAATTAGAATTTAGGTACATTTTATATCTAAAAGCAATTTAGTCAAAATTAGTTTATCTTAGTATAAAAAGTACCTCAAAGTTTTAATGTAATAAGCTCTATAATGTAGGTTGGTTTACATTATAACTATTGGGTGTACATTAAATTGGACACTGGTATGTTACCTAAGGTGCCTGTACATACATACATATGTATTTGGTGTTTTTTTTTAGTGGTTGAATGTACAGATCGCATCCTACATTATTGTGACACCTATGCATTAAGCATCCATGGTAATTAACTTAATAGCCCATAGGGAGTATATACATTTAATTTAACCAGTCCCCTAATATTGAAACTAGCTCCCATTTCTCGCTACTATAAACAATGTGCTAATACCATTCTTCAAGTCCATCAGAAAAGTATACACAGCTTAGTCTTTTTTGTTTTTGTTTTCCAGCTTAGTCAATTTTTAAAACATTCAAGTTGGCGGGTAGGAAAAAAAATGAGGAGCTGATTGATACCAAGGGCTCAAGTAGAAAGAAAGTGTTTTGAAAATGAGGACGGCAACAAATGTACAAATGTGCTTGACACAAGGGATGCATGTAAGTATTGTGATAAGAGCTGTAAGAGCCCCCAATAAAATGATTTAAAAAAACAAAACAAACCAAAACATTCAAGCAAAGTACACAATAACTAGATGGAGTAAGAAAACATTTACCTGAAAAGCGCCGCCCCCCCCCGCCCTCTTTTGTACAATTCAACACTCCCAAAAGGTTATCAACACTATATTGGTTTCTAAAAATTAAAGTGACTTTTGCATTTGCTATAAATCAAAACATTTAAATCAATTTCCAAATACACACGCATGTTGTTGTGCTAACTTGTACTTTGTTCATCTTGGTTACTAAATGGCCTATTATGGTAATTATCACTATATTTACCCATTCTAAGGTTGAAGAAATACTATGAACACTCTCATACATGTACTACAGCGAGCTGGTATATGTACTTCTGGGAATGGAATGCCTCTGAGTGAGTCATGGTGCATGTGATGTCCCTTTAGTAGTTCCAGCCAGGTCACATTCAGAGCAACTCTAACAATTTACAATCCCAACACCAGTGTTAAAGTTGCTCTATATTTTTAACACTTGGTAAGACATTTTAGCTATTCTGGTAGGTATCTAATTATATCAAATGTGTCTCTTTAATATGGCACAGAAGAGCTCTTTCTATCTTTTGATACGGCTACTTTTGTATGGTATGGCTCAAGATATACATATCTTCTGAATTACTAAGAGTAATACATAAGTTCTATACATTATACTTCTGTCTGATCTGTTTTGCAACTTTTCATATTTTAGGTTTGAAGAGTGGTATACAAAAAAACAATTTTATATTTAGCTGCACATGTACTTTGGTGTACATAATCTTATTCCAATTTGTGTACCTAGTCTATTTTTGCCCACTCTTTTGGAATTTATTCATTAAACATCCTGACTACATATTTCTACATTAGCAAACACAACCAATTTTGTTATTTACTGTATATTTGGATTGGATCATTCCTTAACTTGAGGAAATTTTAATATTCATTTTTTGTTTTTCCAAGGAAGAGACCATAATATATCCCCTAGTATCAATGAGTCATTGAAAAGTCAAATCAAAGAGAAATCATGCTGCTCCCACTTTTGTCTTTAGATTTTATAGCTGATGACAACCAAAAGACAGAAGGGATTCTGCTATGAAACTAGAATTGGAGAAGACCTAAAATTACCTACACTTGTCTATTTGTTACTTTCAGGTAATAAGAAAACACACTTTTTCTTGCCTTACGAACCAGTAGCCAAGAACAGCACAAGCTTCGATCTGAATGCACTGTCCAAAGCATATATACATGAATTCTAAATATGACTAAGATATAAGATAGTGCTATTAATACTGCCAAATTCTGTACAGTACAAATCACTAACACCCTTTAAGTTTTAAGTGTTTAACTTGTTAAGTGTTAAGTTTCTCTTGACAAGACTTATTAATAATTTGAAAAATAAAGAATGGACCAGGAAATCACCTACAGGTATAAAAAGTTACTTTATTGCCTTCTACCTCTGATTACTATAAAAAATTATACCCCAGCAATAAAGAGATTTCAGGGTAGAAAAAAATACAACAGGACAAGTAATGTCAGGGTTGGGATGTGGAACAATACTTTCTGATTTTTATTTAATATTTTTCTAAAATTCTAAATAGTATTACATACTATTTTTCCCACAAAACTCTAGACAGTATAATTAATCATCCTCTAAAAAATACCAATAAAACCCAATGGAAGCTAAAGCAACATGGTTGCTACATGAAAATGAGCATTAAACACCATTTTTCCTTAAATTGGGTAAAGAATAGCGAATAATCTAGTTTACCTGATTCAAAGGTTGGCATTTTCAAATCTCCTTGGTTCAGTTCTGTGCCATATTTTAATTTGTGATATTTTGCCCTGAAATTTTAATTAAAAAATGTTACTTTTTATTGCTTTCTATAGTTCATTGTCTATTTTAATTATATCTTCTCTGATAACAAAGCATGATGTGAATATTTATATTTTAAACTTTATTTGCAAAAGAGGTTGAAAAAAAACCCACTAGTATAAAGAGAAAAAACACAAGTGACAAAAAAGTAATCTTCAGGGAAGGGGTGGGACACCGATTTAGAAAATTTTACATCATATAACAAAACATTTTAGCTTAAGGATTTTAATTTATCTGGGTTTTTTTTGTTAGTTTCTTTTCCCATTTAAGAATCAAAACAATCACCTTCAGCAGGGCATTGTATTTTTTAAAGCATATTGTGCAAGTGAGAACAATATTAGTTTGCTTTATTTATATAAGAAAATGAAGTAAAAAAAAAAAGGAAAGAAAATGAAGTACACCTACCTTTCTTGCTTTAATGCATATTCTAACATTTTAATTCTTCTTACTAAATCCTTCTTCAAGTTTTCTTGGCCTTTTCTTTCTCCTTGCAAAAATGCTATCCGGGCCTAAAAATATAAAAGGTGCATTCTTTTTTAGTTTTTCCTTAGCAATAACTAGTAATAGAATGAACAAAAAGGAAATGTCTCCTGTTTTATTGACACAGTACGATGATCCTAATCAATTCCACTGAACTATGTATGTAAAAACCTAATTATAGTTATATTTACCTTAAGATCACTAATGTTAATATTTAATATTTACATGGTCACAAAAGGAAATTGTTATGAATAGAATTTGTACCTAATTCCCAACACAAACTACAAAAGAACTGAAAATTAGCATTATGTTCACAAGCAGATTTTTTTTTTCCCAAAAGAACTTTACTAAGATAACCTCAAAAACATTTCTCTAAGTGTCACTGCACTGAACTCAGGTGTTGCCAGTAACTGCTTAAAATGCTATGTGATACTAGTCATTTACTCACAGGTAGTTTGTTTCTCCAAAACTGCCAGCTCTCTACCCTACTATCTCACCGAACTAACGAGAATTGTTCATTTGCAGACAGGAATAGTTTCACGTGGGCATTTTAAGTAGCATCACCTGAGCTAAGCTCAGTTCATGAGCACCAGGAAAAAATGTATGAGTCTCTGCAGTTTAAATCTGTGTTGTTTGTTCACACCAATTTTCGACTGTGGGATAGCTCGTCTCCTAATCCTTGTGCTGATCAAAGATCAACTATAAAAGAGAGGAAAAAAGCAAGACAATATTCTATATGATTCACTCTATATAAAGTTGACTATATGGTTAAACTATGTACTTAAACAATACAAACTTATTAATGGCAATTTATAAAAGAGAATAGCAAATAAATGATTACCAAGAAAATTCAAGTGAATTGTCACTTCTATGGGAAAAAGACAGAGTGATGATTAGGTAAGGGCTGGTTGGGGGAGTTTTTACAGTTCTGGATTACGCCAGGGATAGTTTCATAGTTTTCCATTTAACTAGTTAAACGGTGAAATCTTGTTTTACGCACTTTTCTCTAAATAAATTACATTTCACAATGAATTCACAATAGTGAATCTTGAAATTCACTATTAAGAATTTTAGAGGTGCCCTGGTGGCCTAGTGGTTCAAGGTTGGGCTGCTAACTGCAAGGTTAGGAGTTTGAAACCACCAACCACTTCAAGATTCTCTGGAAACTCTCTACTCCAGTAGAGAGTTACAGCCTCGGAAACTCACTTGGGGAGTTCTATCCTATCCTATAGGGTGGCAGTGGTCACCATGGCACTAAGCTTGGCTTGGGGTTCTGCTATTAAAATTTTTATCTATGAAGAGAAACAACAGTGTAAGATACAAAATAATGATAATATATAATTGATCGAGAATTCATGGGGGGGGAGAGTGGGGGGGAGCTTATACCAAGGGCTCATGTTTTGGAAACGATGATGGCAACATATATACAAATATGCTTGATACAAGTGATGTACAGAATGTTGTGAGAGCTCTAAGAGCCCCCAATAAAATGATTAAGAAAAAATTTTATCTAGGAAGAAAATTGTTATTGTGAAGTTCCTTTAAAGAGGAAATTTTCATCAATGTGGATATTTCAATGAAGAACTTTATAAAGCATGACAAAATTTCACTTTTATTTACCCAACTCAATTTTAATGTTTTTCATTATTACATATAAAAAATATACACAGCAAAGAGATCATTAACTTGGAATCTACAACTACATTTTATAAAGGAGGCACTTTTCAGTCTAATGCTCTCCCAACTGAGCTATTTCGGCTCACACAAGGTGGCAACTTTTATGAACAATTTCCATGTGCAATTTCAGTAGATTAATACAGAATAAGAAATGCATATTCCCAATTTTCACAATTGTTCTCCCTTTGCATACTGATAAGGACATTTACTTGGGACCATATTTTTTATATCACCTAAACATACTGAACAATCAGCACATGATTTATCCCATGAGACTATGTATTAATTTTTGGTAGCAGACAACTTTTTAACAGCCACTAGAGGTCGCCAGTACAAAACTTTCAACATTGACTCCACTGGTATCAGCCTGAAAGGTGATCTGGCAATTACAGTAGTTTCCAATGTTTCCAATAAATTTTCCCTACAACAAAGAAACTACTGGCAGAATCCAGGTTATAAATGAGATCAGTTGTTGCATCCTTTAACAATCTGTAGGTAAGTTGAAATGGGTTCATACGGTTTTCAAACTGGCAGCTAACCAAAAGGTAGGCAGTTCAAAACCACCAAGTGCTCCGCAGGAGAAAGAAAAGGTGGCAGTTGACTTCCAAAAAGATTACAGCCCTAGAAAGAAACTCTATTGGGTCAATATTACTGTATCCTACAGGGTCACTGAGTCAGAATCGACTGGACAGCAATGGGTTGGTTTTAATTTGGTCCAAGAAAAGCCTTGCAACGTGCAGCCTTTTCAATTATTTCAAACTTACAGTGCAGACAAGTGAGAAAGTGAATGTGTTAATAATAAGTTTGGGTGGTCCAATCATTTCAAGGTGAAGGCATTTTTACGTAACATGAAGGAGGGAGGAGTTGTGCTTACATAATATAAATATTCACAACCCAGGGAATGCCTGTACACACTGTAAAATTATTCATTTTATTAGAGAGTTTCTGTATTTAAAGAAAAAAGTTTAAATGCAAACAAAAAAACAATTTAATATTTAGCTGCACATGTACTTTGGTGTAAATTATCTTATTCCATTTTGTGTGCCTAGTCTGTTTTTGCCCACTCTTTTGGAATTTATTCATTAAACATCCTGACTACATATTTCTACATTAGCAAACACAACCAATTTAATTATTTACTGTGTCTCCTGCAGATAATATACTTGGATTGCATCATTCCTTAATTTGAGGAAATTTTAAATACTTCATGATTTAAGAAATGTTTAGAAACTATACCATCATTCAGTATCAAAAATTTTAATGTCTAAAGAATTTTAAGATACTATTAAATAACTAGATTCGAAAGCAAATGACAAATTCCGCTTACAGCAATTAACTATAATCTCAAAACACAACTCACTAAAATGGTTGGTTTTCAACAAATGTTAATACTTTCTTCCCTTAGTGGTCAACTGAACTAACCTTGTGAATGCCAAGCATTTAACTTGAAGGGTTGACAAGGTTCTGTTGTATAATTTTAAGAACTATATATAAATAGTAAGTTGAAACCCTGACCCATTGATGTCAATTTATAGAAATTAGAGAATACTCAAGAAAATCTTATTATATCAGTACTCAAAGCCTAGCTAAAAAGGAGTTTAGTCTTTGTATTTCATCTAGTAACATGAATAGTTCCCACCAAATAGTGTCTTTTCTGGCTATTTAAGATTGGTTAAAAATTTTAAATTTGTTTGCAATGGCTTATAAAACTTCTCACAGAAATATTATTTTACAATGCCAAAACACTGCTGACAAAATAGCTAATTTTCAAAAGCAAATAAAATATCTATTTTAAAAAACCCAAACCTAATAAAACGATTAAAAAATAAATAAAAAACCCAAACCCACTTCCATCAAGTCAATTCAGAGACTAAACTATACCCGTACAAGACAGCATCGTCTGATTAAACAGCCTAAAATAAAATTTTTAAATTATCAAAAAAATACCACCACCATCCTTTAAAATGTCAATACCATTTTATTTGACAATTAGCTTAAAGTACTAACAGGGCTTCAAAAATTTGGGGGAGAAAAAGGGAATCCATTATATTTAACTTTTTAAATTAAAAGATCATTTTATTGGGGGTTCTTACAGCTTTTTTTTTCTTACTGCTCTTGTATAACAGTTCATACACCAATTGTAAAAAGCTTATTTGTTGTACATATGCTGCCATCATTATTTTCTAAATATTTACTTTCTATTTGAGCCCTTGGTCTCAGCTCCTCTTTTTCCCCTCCCTCCCCACCTCGTGACCCCTTATTAAATTAAAAATTATTATTTCGTATTTTACACCAACGACTGCCTCTCTTCCCCCATGATTTCTGTTGTTCATCTCCCTGGGGTGGATGGTGTGTGTGTTTAGGGAGACTATACAGATTTCAAGGGATGTAAATATAATCCCTACTATCAATCAAGTCATAGGGACCTGTAAATCATGATCATCTGCCCCTGGGGATTTCCAAGATTATCAGAGAGAAGCCTCATTTTTCTTCCTCAGAGTGGCTGGCGGCTTCACCCTGCTGACAGTATGGGTTAGCAGCCCAACTTGTAACCATTATGCCACCAGAGAGGTGTGTCCCTGCTGACAGTAGGGTTAGCAGCCAAACTTGTAACCATTATGCCACCAGAGAGGTGTGTGCACAGCTTCAAATAATCAACCATCTGAGAGCTAAAGGACAAAGTTCAGAAAGTTTAACCAAGGACAAAGTTCAGAAAGGGTAGGAAAGGATGAATCGAAAAAGGAGAACCACGAATGATGCACACAGCATAACAACATAAAGAGAAAAGGAGGGGCAGGAGGGAGTGGGGAGATGAAGGCATTGGGGGTAACAGGGCGCTAATCCACCACAGGGAGGGTATTGTTTTTATCTCCACAGGAAAGGGAGAGAGGGACCAGACCTCAACCTGGCGTGCTATGTTTGAGGGCAACATACCAGCATGAAGCAGTGAATGGAGAGGTCTGTGGGCTGGCCCCTGACCCAGCAACATCAACCGCCTCCTCAGAAGAATGCACTACAGAGGACAGCACTGAAGATACAGCCCAGAGAGAAGGGCAGACCACACAGGAATAAACTAACAGAAAGAGTGGACAGCATCCTGATCCACCAAGCTTCGAGGTCGACATTCCCACTCTGAGCAGCTAATGCACAGAGAGGACCACGAGGTCGGCCTCACTACAAGACATGACAGTGCTCTAACCCACAGAGCTACAGGGGGTAGCACGGGAGACACAGTGCTGGAACTGTGCGCCCGGTTTGACAGCCCACCACCACCACCACCACACACCAGGGGGTAACATGAGGGGAGTGCAACAGAGCAGCAAGCGGGGCAAAGCAAAAGTCACCGAGGAAT